AAATCTGACGTATACTTATTTGTGATTGCAGATGGAATCCAGTAGCACCTTTAGGTTGGTTTTGAGTGTGACTGAGTATGATACCCCGGGATTGCTCATTCAAGTTGGCCGTTATGTCCTAGGTCTTCCGCACATGACCACGAAGGATGATGAGTTCAAAGGTTATCATATACCTGCTGGAACACTCGTACTTGGAAACAGTTGGTAACTATCTCTACTGCGAGTTTGATTCGAACACATCAACTTTCCGTCCTCTAGGACTATTCTTCACGATCCAGTGACCTACCCCGATCCTATGACATTCAATCCTGACCGTTTCCTCCGCAATGACCTCGCCGTAGTGGATCCCGTCTCTGTTGCGTTTGGATACGGCAGGCGAATATGTCCAGGACGATTTATGGCTGAGAGTCAGCTGTGGATCTCAATTGCTTGCATTTTGAGCGCGTTTGAAATCAGACCTGAAAATGACGAGAGGGGAAAGCCTATCGTGCCTAAGGCTGCATTTTCTTCGGGATTTATTTGGTATGTTCACAAGATTTCTAGGCCACGAAGATATCTATTCATCCTTTGCGGTCAGTCATCCTTTACCGTATAAGACTTCAATAAAAGCAAGGAGCACAGGATCAAAGTTCTTGATTGAGCAGACTACGGATCTCTCTGCTTGACAGTCTGCTTGGCTTGGATACCACACATGTATCATTATTCTACATATTTATCTGAGTATGTATGCAAAAAAAGGTTTGTAATTAACTCGGAAAGGAGATGCACCAGGTTATTGAGTATGCATCCATTCATGCCATCGTCTAACTGAGAGCCAGGTATCTGTCTTTGAGCATCTGTATATTGTCCTTTTGGATAAATCTCCCAGCCATGCTTGGGTTGTGGTGATGCAACCAATCCAGCCCCAGGAAGATGTGATTCTCCCCAAGATTTGTGATTCCAAATTGGACATGTTCCAAGTGGTCACCAACAGTCATTCAGACTTCTACATACTCTTGAATGGAGCCAGCCTCATTGAGTGTGCCATACACACCCCTTTCATCTTTTCTCAAAGATAGCCTCTTGAGGAGTGGCATAAGAGGAATCTCAAAGAAGAGATTTGAATGTAAATGAGAAGAGATTGTTACGAACTCTATCTTTTTCATTATCTTTTTAGTACTTTAGATGCTCATTCTCTTTTTAGGTATATTAGCGCTTGCAGAGCGCTTACACAAGCGTTTGTTTTACTCCTTTATCTTTTTCTTTTCTTTTATTTATGAACATGCGATAGCCTTGCTGCTTTCATATTATCATTAATTGTCGACGCGACTCTCTCGTGTCTGTCAAGGCATTGACAGATCTAGGCCGTCTACATACATTCCTTCATATTACCTCGTTGTTTCATCATGGTGTACAGGTGGCTTTTATTGTATAGCCTCATGGCTGCAGCACGAAATAGTTCTCATGGATTCATTTCCAAATATGTATATAAGACAGAGTATTTTGTAGAATAGTCTTTATCTCTGATCTCGTCTATTCTCCTTGGTAGTTAGACAAGTATCTGAGGACACACTCCTCTCGCATTATCCATCTTTTTGATCTATTATCTCTGTGTGACGCCTGGCCCAGTACTGAGCTACTTGACAGAGATATGGTTTTATCTAGGTAGAGATTTACTTGCAAGACTTACAAAGCAGTGGAGAAAATCTCAGTATTAAGATTCTATGTATTCTCTGATATAAGCTGTTCTGCATTTTGTTCATTGCTTGGAGTCATTTGACGTCCTTTCTAGCTTCTTATACATGCGCTGGAGTGCACCCCTTCCTTACGGTTGTCTGGGAGATTCTGAGAGCGTATTGAGTAATTCATTTGGAACGGTGTTAAGCTATCATCTCCGTGTCCTTCCTCTTCATGACAATACATTCGATGAACCCTGTTGCTCAAATGATTCATTGCCTTTTCGAGGCAGGTTTGGGGATCGTTAGCCACAAGGGAGAAAAACCTCATGACTGGTTACTTATGGAACAGTTAGCCCGGATAGTACTAGTCATTGGTATGCATGTGTTTCATTGGCTTCGACGGAGAACATGCGCGGGTTGTTTGCGGTAACCACTTAACTGGTTTGCAGTAGTTTGTTCGGGGCGCGAAGACGGCTTTAGAACAATGGGAAGTCATACCTCATGGAATTTCTAGTCTATACGATGACCATGACTGAAAGAACGACTTTTTTTAATGAAACTTTGTTCATTTCGATATACTGTACGCATGGCACGCTCGGGAACCGGCCTGATACTCAAGGCAATTGGTCAGTTTATCAAGTTCTTTGAAGTAACTGATAGGTTTGGCTAGTTCCATGAATTCCGATATGTTCGTATTTGTTAATGATCTGAATTCGAAGTTATCAGTCGTTGTATAGGCACATACTCATACTTCCCTGAGTTTCACAGTGAGGACTGAGGTGCATACATTCAGCGAGCGGTAAGCAAGTGTGTACAGGTTGACGTTCTGCGAGATAGACCTGATATTTGAAAACCGTGGATAAAGTTTGGAACTTAAAGGTGGTCCACCAGACGTACACCTGAAAGTCCCAGACTCGTCGCAGCAAGTTGTTGGCAAGATACGCTTGTGTCTCCTGGAGAGAACGTCAAGCGAGCATTCAATGTCAACCGCCGAGTAAGTTCGAAGGTATCCTGTCCCTCCGGGTACCTTTCCACCAGCAGAAAACCCAAAAGAAAAGATGACGAGCAATCAACATCTCACTAGCACAGGCGTTGAATTGGTTGAAAGTATCAGGCACAGGTTCAGATAGGCATACAATCTATATCTGTTATATGAGGCAATGGAGGTGAGGCCAGAGTTGCATTGGTAGAGAAAGAAGGACTGAGATCTATGGATGCTGCATCTAGGAAAGGACTAATAGGCCATATCCTTCAGTGATTCTAATAAGGTGCTTGCAAGGACAAAGTACGGATTTGGCCGAAGCAGAACTTCAGACAAGCTCATGTCATTATTGTGATTTGATGAATTAAAGACCCACGATGCTCTGCTTGTGGATCAGGATAGATACACCGGAAGAACATCGTGCACCGAAGCCAACGACTTCGCTCCAGAAATGGAATACTTCTCAACCAAAGCGTCGAAAGGAAAATATTCCGTGTCCATCGAGTTTTCGGAGGCAGAATTGTTGACGATGTTATCGCTTTTGAGTTGTTGTACCTGCAACGGGTGAATCAGCAAAAGGAAAAGAAGAAAAGAAAGAAAAGAAAATAAGCAGAGCTCTCGAGCATTGCACACACCTGCGAGCGCGTAACTGTAAACAGATTAACCGGAAGCTGCTCCATCACTGTACCTTGCATCTTGCCCATCCAAAACGGCAACGACACTATTGGTCTTCTTCGACGGTTGTGCTTGAGCACTAATTGCATAATCTCCTTGTAGGTCAAGACATCTGGTCCCCCGCATTCGATGATTTTCCCTCCGACTATTGCCTTAATTGCCGGATCGTTCCTTGCAATGATTTCGACGGCGCGAGCAATATCCCCAACGTATACTGGTTGGAAGCGAGACGTGCCTCCTCCGAAAACAGGCAGGAATGGAAGGAATTTGGAGAGTTTGGAAAATCGCTGTTCAGTTGATCATGATCAGTGTCGCAGCGCGGAAGGATTCACAGGTTACAAGACTTTGACTCACGTTGAAAAAATCGTCCTCTGGCCCGAACACGATGCTGGGCCTCAACACGACTAAATCCTTCTCTGTCTTGCCTTTGAAAGTTTCTCTGACCGCCTCCTCGCCCAGAGCTTTTGTCCTATTATACGGAATAGGGCTTTCTTTATCCGCTCCGATAGCACTGACATGTACCAGCCTTGCACCTGCATCTCTCGCTGCCTTAGCCACGTTCTCCGCGCCTTTCCATTGAATTTGATCAAAATCCGCGGGAGACCCGTGCATAATTCCAACGAGAGAAACGACGAGGGAGGCTCCGTGAAATGCTGATGATAGTGTCGACTTGTCGATTATATCTATCGGTATGGGGGGAAGAATTCCGGAGTTAGTATTCTTCAGCAAGGTATAAAGTCTTTCCGGATTTCGAGAGGCAAGCTGAACTTGGTGTATCACGGAACTGGAGCGAGAAGTCAAAGCAAGCGCAATGTGTTTTCCTGGGAGAATATTACACCATGATATATTATTCAAGGACGAAACTCACCAAGAAAACCAGCACCGCAGATGACAACTTTTGAATTCATTGTGGTTAAGACAAAGTAAGATTTTCGAAGAACTGTCCTAGATGTGACGTCTACATCCTGGATTAATGCTAAGACTCGGCGCTTAGCGCACAATATTTCGAAGTCACAATTATACTCAGAATTTCTTTCCTGTTTCTTTCTGTTCATATGTTATTCCATTTCAATTGCGACAAAAAATCAACAGAGAGAGAGCTGTAGCAGGTTATATGCAGACATTTATTCTTCTTCTTCAGCATGAAATGCCTGGCTATCACATAGGGAGAGTGGGTATATGCTATATCTTTGAGAGGCACAATGATTATTGAGAGACAAGTCAGCAAAGCCGGCTTCTCGGCGGACCAGATAAGATACTGCGATGAGAGCCGTGAGTTCGTTGGTTTCTCACACTCGAACCACCACCGGCTCTCATCGCCTTTCGTGTCAGCGAGCCATTTTTCGTGTGCCACCCCCTCTTACCCTCAGAATTCTAGTGTCACGGCATATACGGGACACTACAGGTTAGTGTCAAAGTCCGCGCTTGCGTGTTTGCCCACCCGCGCGGGGCCAAGCCCCAGCCAAACCCTCTCGACTCGGATTGAACACCTACCCGGCCGCAAGCCGAGTGGTCCACATCTCATCAGGCTCTCCAGCGGAGCGACTCATCTCGTCTGTTCGCTCTCTTTCCCAAATGGATTGCGTGCAGGAAGGTAGTCATCATGATCATGGTAGTTGGTGAGGTGGCGCTGAACATTATTGAGTTTAATAGAATGATATTCTTGCCACTGAGACATAATACAATCCGATATGGTGTAGTGGCTAACATTATCGCCTCTCAATTCATGAAGCGCGATAGCCCGGGGTTCGATTCCCCGTGTCGGAATCAGCGGTTGATGCAAGTGTTTTTGTTTATGTAAAGATATATAAGTAACCACATTTGTACTACTCACAATCATCCACATTATGTACCCAGAGAAAATGATACGACAAAGTTCAGAGTTACACGGAAGGCCGATTTCTGTTAATACTTATTCAAAATACACTTGTCTAACGTTCTTCTGTAAGCTTTTGTCCGTCTGCACTTTCGTCTCCGTCCCCATCTTTGAAATACACTTTGGCACTTACATATGAATTTCATTCCAAATCTTGCATACCTCCGTTCCATTCTTATATCATCTACCCTTCACCCTCCCTGCTATACTCCTCCTTTACTGACAAGCCCCAATATCGGACACCTCTCTCTGTCTCTCGCTAATTTCTCTCTCGTTTTACAATTTCATCCATCTTTAAGCGTCCACTACACCCTCAAAAGCCCCCAGCGCCCCTGACCCTCTGCACAGCCCCAATCACTCCTTTCGCCCAGGAGAATCGACCAGGATCAACTCCAATCGCGCCTTCAGCCATTTCACCCGTTTTGGGATCGTGCCAGCATCCGTCGAGAGGGGAGACGAGACCGTATTTTTCTGGTCGTGAAGAAATGCAAGGGAAGATGAGGGAAAGTCAGCAATCACAAATGAATCTATGAGTAAAGACCGTACCGGTATTCTGATTTCTCCTCAACCCCTCCATCCATCTCTTGCAAACCTCTTCCGAATCAAGCATCACGTTTATTTCTTGAGAATGGAAGTACGTCTGGGTATCTTGGTTTCCGTTTCCTTGGATGGCGAGGTGGGAGTCTACGATCAGGACTTTGACTTTTGTTGTGGTTTTCGTGGACGGAGAGTGGAGGGTGAGAATGGTCAGCAACGCGCAAGGGAAAGAGGGGAGAAACAGGAAACGATGAATGAAACGATATCTAATATGAGATTACAATAATGAATTCAAAATTGAACACATGAAGGTTAATATGTTAATGCTTAATGGCACCGAAGATGCCACGAAGTCAAAACGCAAAATCAGGAGCCGAAAACCGGGAAACGAGTTCGGATGGATTAACGGGAACCCAAAGCTAAAAGCCAAAGGAAATTAAGGAGAAGGAACGCCAAAAAGCGAGGCCCGAATTTTGTCAAGGACAATGAAAGAACCACCGACCGAACAGAAAGGAAAGAGAAAGAAAAAAATGACCAAACAGCATTCAAAATGGAAAGAGAATGATCAGCCGTTCAGTCGAATGAACTGATGAACGAAGGACGAACAAAGAACAAGGGAAAACTGCGTCGAAAGACATAAAAACGACTCACTATGACAACTCCTCTTCTTAAACTTATTATGTATCGGTTTATCCTGATCCTTCGCTACATAGTTATAGATCTTCAACCGACTCTTTTCTTCTTCAGATAGCGGCTGAGCTTCTTTCGGGTGCAACTCTGAGGATCCTGCTTCCACGTCTTGCGCGTTGGCATTCACATTCGCGTTAGCGTTGAGGTCGTCAGACTCGTTGAGACGATGTGGTTCTGCAACCTGAGATGCATCGCCAGCTTCGTTCGGCGTAAGCATCGACTCTTTCGTGTTAGGCACAACAGGAACAGAAGGATGAGCCTGATGTGTAGTTGTGAACAGCCCGGGATCATTGAATAGCCTGTTCGCAATCATCTCGTTGGTGCCGTTTTGATACGGCAGGAGTTCACCCTTGCCAATTATAAACGACGGGAGGGAAAAAAAGAGAAAAAACACCCACTGCATCATTATACCCCAGACAAACCCAAATCTCTACTTGCACTCCTCTCCTCACCGCTTTGACCAGCTCAGGCAACAGCGGTTCTGCATTCAAATTCGGAGTTTGGATAAAAATCGATTTCTGTGCGCCTCGTATAGCTTCGAGGAACGCCACATTCTGCGGATATTTCACCGCTTGGGGAATAGAGAACGTCGGTGTACCGAGCGGAGCACGTGAAGCTACAAGCATCGGGATCGGCGTAGGTGAACCTATCTCACCTCCCGGAAAAGCGGAGGGAGGCAACGGAATGTAAGGGGTCATTTCTTCAGAAGACACGAGAGAGTCAGAAGAAGGCTCTGGAGCGGTAGGTTGAACACCCCCATCAGCTTTTTGCATTTTAGTGATATTGAAATGCCTAGAGACAGCTTGAAGATGGGTTTCTCCTGGTTTGGGTGCATAGGAGGCCTGAATCCTGCGGATTTCACCGGCGATGGTGGTGTCGTAGTGTGGGTTTCCAGGAAGGTGTTCTGATAAATCGAGGGAGTCGTGACCAGCTTGCGCGACGGATGAAAGATCGACTGGTTCCTTGGTGGAGTCTTTGGTGAAAAGAGCGAGGAAGGAAGGATCAGTGTACGATGGCAACGGCTTAGACATCGCTGGGGAATCTCGACATGGAAGAGGAGGGTTAAGGGTCGTACTCCACGAAGCTAGGCAGACATCGTACAATGAATCGACGATGGGACCTTCAAGCCTGACACACATCTCCAGATTGTCATTGTCCTGTATGTTGTTGGACATCAACAACGCAAGCTCTCTATCTACAACCATAAACTTTGAATGGAATGTTCCAAGAAGGGGGACGTGATAATTGACCACCTCCATATGAATATTTGGAATTTCCTCTGGAGGGGGGAGGTTTACTTTGTCATTGGTGTATGTGGAAAGAGGAACGTGCTGATGATGTTCAAACGCCTGCTTGACATTTCCTCTATCATACAATACCTTCACAACAACCTTGTCTCCTCGCTCACCAGCCCTCTTACTGAGCTCCCTCAATGCATCAGTGACAATCCTACTCGTATCAGAATTGATCCAGAAGTTTGTAGCCAAAAATACCTCCTTCTTTGCTCTGACGATGCAATTCGACATGTGTTTGACAATGTCGGGTAATGGCGCGACAATTGTTAGCGGGACGACGCCGGACGAGGCGATAAGCGGAGGCGAAACCATTCCGGCCATAACATCACCTGACGCAGCGAGATTGACGAGGATAGAATGATAGATGGAGAGAAAGAGCGGGCTTGGAGGAACAGAACCAAAGCTACCCAGGTTGGAGGGAGGAGACTCGTCTGTGTCTCGCACATGAGAGTAAAGACGCTTGGTAATTTTACCTGGCTCTTCACTGGGATCGCGAGCGTATTCACTGCTGATTGTCGTTGTAGATTGCACGAGGTCGTAGATCGTTGGGTGAGTCATCGTTGTTGAAGCTCTACGTCGTTGTCGTCGTTGTTGTTGAAAGAAAAGTGCTGTGAGTATGGAGATCAAGAGTGCCTTGCGATGACATCAGAATCTATAAATAGAATTTCGCGTCATACACTCACCTCCACTATCATCGTCAATTGAAATTATGTACGAGTTTTATTAAGGAAAAGTCGTTTTACAACGTACGAGAGAGAGAAAGACGCACATAAACTGCGCCACATTAGAATTATCAAGTGTTACGTCATAGCTTTGGAACAGGTTCTCGATACTGTTGGTTGTGTATTGAAGTTGACTAGGTATTTCAGACAATGTCCAGAGCTGACAGAACCCTAGATACCACAGTACACGATATTTTCGAAGTATCAAGGTATCGTATTGACTCTTGCTTGCTTGAAACGAGAGCCGAGCACATATGGTACGGGATTTGAATGTGGCAGAAAGCTTTCTCAAGTTTTGCATAGCTGGAAGGATTTCGAAATTCCAATTCATTGATCAAGGTTGCATACACGCCTATGCAAATAATTAATTGGGAGCAGGTTGGGCACTAGTATTGCCTGGCAGTTATTTACTAGATTGTGAAGCGTTGCATTCTCTCATGTGTAAGCATAACTACATGCCTGAATAATATAAACCGTTGTCCAATTATACTTAGCAAGGAAAGCACTGAGCACTGCATGAAGGATGACCATATTGAAACCCACTCAATGCCCAGTCTGACCTTAGTTAAGAGCCGACTTGCCTCGGTTACCCCATTACTTCGCATCTCTTCTGTTGTGACATTAATGAGTCTTTTTGGCACACTCTGATCCACTGGCATTCACTGGACCATACTTCAACACAAACGAAGCCTGCGTAATTTGCTGTTCATCCTACTACTGGAAAGACTTTGCTCCCCACCAAAGCGTCAGCTGCAATGTTCCCGCCTGAATCTTCTTCGAATATGCCGCCAGCTTCAAATTCCCGACCTGAACATCCCCCAAATCCTTTGTGACGCTGAGTGCGACGACCCAAGCCTTGCATGGGAGATAGTTCTGATTAATCAATCCCTGATTCACCTTGGTACAATCCGCCTTTGCTTGGGCCTTGAAATTATTTGTGTTCGCAATACTCTCGCATTTCAGCTCGAGCATGTTGGTGAAATGCTCGGCACCCTTTCGGGTGGTGATGAGGAGATCAGATCGCTGGTTGTTGCCCTGGTAGACGTTGTCCTCGCGAGTGACTGTGACAACGCCATATCTCTCGGACTCGAATGCTCGCTTGAGGTAAAATGCGAGCTCGACTTGGGTCCATCCTTCCCATCCTCCTTTCTGGTTGTAGGCATCCTGTATCTTCTCGCCGTTGGCTTCTGCCCACTCGACGATCCGTTCTAGCACAGGGCTTTTGTCCATGATAACTGTTTGTATGAATTACTCGTGTTGGAAAGTTGAAGTCGAACTGAACGTACAGAATAAAGTCGTAGCAAAGATGATGCTGCGTTTATGCGATGTGGATTCTGCACTTCCCAGTCAGCTTTTATAGACACTGAATGGACAGATTCGAAGGTGGAATATTGTCATGAGTGACATGAGTTATGCATGGATTAATGATACATGGTTTTCAATCTATGCTCCGAAAAAGCCTGCATGCTGTCACAGTCAGAATGGTCGGATATGAAGTGGCGAGCAAGTATCAATACTGACTTTATTCGTTTCAGGTGTTGGATACTATTCGGATCCTAAGAACCATTTCATGCAAGGGTTGAATAAGTAGTGCTATATATACTGGGGAATTGAAGGCATAAATATGATTGAAAATTAGATAACGGCTGGGATGATGGAGTTGGACGCAGAGAGAAAGAGAGTGTGGTTGAAATAAGCGCCTATGAGCGCCTAACCGTTCATTACCCGTCGGGAATGAAAGAATCAAGTGTCTCTCGCTCGCTCATCTCCCTCGTTTCCAACTCTTTATTATCCTGGATCTGCGCGCTCAAGCTGAGAGCCAACGCTGAACCTTCGGATGAAGGAAGGCTCTATTCAGGAGGAAGTAGAACCTGAGCCTCTTCACCGTAACCATCACACTGGCAATTCGAACTCAAACACGTTGAATTCTGCGAGGATTCATTTCCCTAATACCAATAATGTCAATGCACATGAACACCAGCACTCAACTCCCAATAAGGCGCATTATAAGACAATCAGTAACGCTGCAAGTTCAGGAGGGAGTTCGATGAATTCGAACAGTTCTCGAAGGAGAGTAGTCTCTGTCGATGCTGGGAATGCGTATGGGTCTTTGGGGGGTGGAAGTAGTAGGAATGGGATTGCTGGGATCGGCAGTGCTGGATTTGGCTCCACGGGCAGGAGGATACCTACAGTGAGCATGGGAACGTCCTCGGGATCTGGATTTCAAGCTGGCAGACGGGTGGCTTCGGAGAGTAAAGAGTCCAGTAGTAGAGACATTCAACATGACTCATCTTCAGCAGATTCAGGATGGGGAGGTATCGGAGCGTTTTCGGATGAGTATGATTTATGTGAGTTAACGAGTTATTTCTGATGTTTTTTTTCTGACTTTCTGACTACTCATTGACATTCCGCTTATGTTTGAACCTTTCATTTCGAAAACTTACCAGCTCACGAAGGCAGGTGTTCTAATTCACTCGTCGGATGAACATATGGGCATAACATGAAAATGTAGACCCCAAAATTTTACAAGACGTCCAACGCGCGCTCAAGCTCAAACAAAGACGCGAGGCCCGAAGGAAATCTGGTTACCCTTCCGGATCACCTAGTGACAGACCCTCGTCTCCTCTCAGATCGAGCATATTACCGGAATCGAGCAATGGGATATCTCATCTAGGTCATTCACTGCCTACTGCCACTTCCATTCCCTCCACCTCAGTACCCACCGCACCTTTGACGACGGACATCGACTTTAGTCCCTCGACTGGTCTTTCCACTTCTCGTTCCTTGAAATCGCAAGAACAACAACAACTACAACAGCAGAAGGAACAGCAGGAAAAAGAGCAGAAAGAACAAGAACAACAGCGAGAACGAGAACGACGAAGAAGACTGTTACATCCCATACCTCTCTCCAGCGACGGTGGCAAGACACTGGATTGGTCCGGGTCTGGGTTTGGTGATGAGGACGAGAAGGGTGAGAGGACTGATTCGAAGGGTGACAAGAGGTGGTCGCTGAGTGTGAGTGTTTCGCGGAAGGGGAAGGAAAAGGAGAGAGAGAGAGAAAGAGAGAAAGAGAAAGAAAGAGAGTTAGCACTGCTGTTACCGAATGCAGAGGAATCGAAGAGACAAGAAGAAGAGTATATTGGTACGTTGATATTTCCTGCCACTACCGCTTGCCTCATCTTAATATTCGTTTATCCTCAGTCAAACTCTCTAGAATAAAGACCCTTTCATCTCAATCGACGAGCAAGAAAGTAGCTATCACGGCTGATCAACTTGGGAGACGATACAGTCTGATATACAACTCCTTTGGTTTTTCTCTTCCTCCTCCTCCTTCTGCATCTGCATCTGCCCCCGATGTATCTGACCAATTCGACACAATCACCGCTATATCTATATCCAACACGCAAGGATTCAACCTCCTCCAAGTATCCAAATGGTACGCTGGACAAGATAAACTCGTTCGTTCGTCGCTGGAAAATGCGGAGCCGTTCATCTGGTTGAAGCATTTAGAGAAAAGGAAGCATCATGCAGAAGGAGGAGAACTTGTAGATGTTCACAAGGACGACGGGAATCACACTACAGCCACCACTTCTCGACCACCCTGGCATCTATCTGCGTTGATAATGGAAGAATACGTTCACGCCCAGAACGCCAAGGATCGTCCTCAAGTGAACCTTCCGCCTCCCGCTCAAATCAATCCGATTCGACCTATGGGTTCTATACCCGAACATCCGCTCTCTCCGCTCGATGAACAATCACAACTACCGGCACATCCGTTCATAATACCCTCAGGGTACTCCACTCCTTCCGCTCCTTCAGCTTATTCCCCTCCTTCGATTTATTCCAATTCTACTTACTCCCCTCCATCGACGTACTCTGCTCCCTCTGCTCCCTACTCACCCAATCACAACTCACCTTATCCTCAATTCGATTCTAATTCTCGTTATTCTCCTCAACAATCACAAGCTCAGATTGAAGCAGGTCGAATATCCTTTGAGCCTATTCTCGAGCCCTTATCGGTGTTGACATCGGCATCGACGGCCCAGGAGCATCACTCTTCAAGGTATCTCCAACCTCCTTCGGCAGCGAGACCGTCGAATGAATCGAGAAGGAGCTTGGAATCGACGTGGAGTAGTATATTCAGTAATTCCAATGTGAATGATAGTACATCTACTGCCGTACGAATAGAAGGAGGAGATGGCGGGGTAGCGGCAGGAGCGACCAATCCCACAAGCCCTCAAAGTAGACGAAGCAGTGTGAGTAGTCGGGTTCATATTCGGGATAATCTAGGGTTGAAGAGGAGGCCGATGAGTCGTCAGGGTACTGGCGGCACTGGTGGGGGAAGTGATGATGGGAATTTATCGTCTGAAGCGAAGGGACCTTTAGCTGCTGAGCAGAGTGATGTCGGTGAAGGTGGAAGGGGAGGTACAGGGATCGATCATTCCTTCGCTCACGTTGAGGAAGCTGAACCCGGACTCCAACACCAACACCAACACCAACACCCAGAGGACGTCGTCGCTGCAAACCCCGGTACATCTGCTACGAGTGCTACAAACGTCATATCTATATCACCTGCTCAAGTTACTGGTAGTCGTGATTCGGGTACAGGTTCGATGACCTTGCCGCGAACACAAGCAGCTCCCTCAGATCATAACCTCCATTCTCTCAATCCCTTCCATCCCCTGCAGTCGCTCCGGCTCCGGAACAAAGGCTCTTTACCTACACGGAGTGGTACAAAGGAGGAATTGGCAATGGAGATGAAGAGGAGACAGGAGAGAGAGGAGAGGAGGGAAGCGGAAGAGGCGAGGGAAGATATGGAGTACGAATTGAAAGCTCAGTGGGTGCATCGTATTTCACTCACTATTTATTTTTGATCATTTTCTTTTTCTACAGACTCGTCGCCTCATGCAAAGATTCGAACACCCACATCCGCTCCGTACTAAATCACATCGCGCAGCGTATGCGCGAATACGAAGTGTGTCAGCAGAGTTTTAGAGAAAACCACCATCAAGACTTGGAAGATAGATCAGATCTAAGCAATCTCACCCTCCCACACGAACTCCTGGAAGCCTTCAGCCATGACCCAGCAAACGTGACGAGCTCGACGAAGAGACTTAAATCTTATCGAGCCGTAGATGATATTCATCATCGACTGATGAAGCAGAGGGCGGTTTTTAGAGAGTTTTTAGATCAAAATCAGACTAGTAACGGTACCAGGAGCGACGCTGATGATGAAGATATCCTTCAAGACCCCATTGATTCACTTCTTCGCACCTTGAAAGAACTAGAAGACCATCGGATGAGGATTGTGGACAAGGAGAAGGAGGTCTCGGAGATGTTGAGAGAGACACAGATCGTTCATGCGGAGGTCAAGAAGGTGTACAACGACACGTTGGTCCATACGAGTGTTGTTTATCCCGAGGTAATCAAGAGAAATATTGTTCTAATACAATGCTAACTTGATTCATCATTCAGCTCTCCCAAATAACCGGCCTGGAAGAAAGCTACAGAGACCAATATCAACATCTCTGGGACCTCGGCATGTCTTTCCTCACCCTTCTCCTCGACACCATTACCCCCTTCTGGCGTACATATGGTAAAGTCATCGGAGACGACGTTCAAGATTTCCTCATAATCCCTCTTTACCGACACGAGTTTACTGGCGAATCGAAACGGTACCCGATCAGGCGTGTACCGAAGAGGTCAGTCAGGCACTGGATCGGGTTGATGCTTTTGTTCGTGGGGAGTGTCGGCTTGGTCGTCGTACAGGGGAGGGCGGCGGTCGTTTGCTCGGCGAATTGGAGGTTAGATAGGGGATGGGGTGGATTGACGGGATTGTTGGGGGATGGGAGGATGAAGAGGATGGCGGATGGCGGGTTGGTGGAGGAGTCTGGATCCGGATTAGGATTGAGGTGGGCCAGATGGGGGATGGTCATTCCGGTGTGGTGGATGATAATTTTAGGGCAGTGGTGTGCGGTAATTGGGGAGTTGGCGGTGGTGTTGATGCAGGTTGGGATGATGTTGTGGTGGTTTGGCTGGGTGGTAAGAGTATTGGATTAGGTGGATTTTTTCTTCTTTTTTTTTCCTTTCTTCTGGCTTCATTAGTTTTCTCTCTCTCTCGCATATTCACTGGAACATCAATACGTAGTCTTCCTGTCGTTAAATTATTCTTATAGTACATATGCTCTCCTTACAGTTTCACGAGTTTCTTATCGCTATCGCATTGCTCTCAAATCCATTATCCATCAGTACCAAATGACAGGGTGGGATTGAGAAAATCGAGGAGTAAGCTGGACCTGCAATATTTTTTTTTCAATTGGGATTTCTGAATCTACCACGGATATTGGGGTAAAGCTCAATAACAGTTTTAGCGAGGAGCATTGTGCAAATTAGACAAAAAGTTCGCAAAAATATAGCAGCCAAATTCCGACACGGGGAATCGAACCCCGGGCTATCGCGCTTCACAAATTGAGAGGCGATAATGTTAGCCACTACACCATATCGGATTATGCATAGTGTTTTTGTGTTATGAATATTCCTGTTTTCAAGATCAAAACCTCTGGGGCTATGACAATGCAAAGTGCCTCTTCTTACCTATCGCCCGCCTAGCTCAATCGGATAGAGCGTCAGACTCTTATACAGTGGAGATGACGATGTAGGCAATCTGAAGGCTGCGAGTTCGACCCTCGCGGTGGGCTATCAAGAATGAATTTTCTTTTGCTGACATTCACTTTTTGTTCCTTGAGGAAAAGTTTACATATAGCCAATTATAGAAGAGACAACGAATCGTTTACAGTAGGAAGTTTCTTGACCTTTATCAAGAATTTAGCGAAATGTGCCCTGCTCAAAAATTCATCCGCAGACTACGCGTCTCTCCCAAAGTTTCTGATGTTGGTAAAGGCAACAACCACCTCTGTTGAATTCTATTGTACATCTTCGGTGTTTCCCATAACTTGTCAAGTTTTTTTTTTTTTTTTTTCATGAAATCCCATTTATTCGCCTTTGCGTTTCTGCGTATGTTAGCGAGCATGCTACTCACTTGTCAAGTTTATTGTTGCTCTCTGCTTTACATTGGCTTTAGAATTACATGGATCCAGTAGAGCCCAACTGATATTTCTGAAAATATGCCAATCAAGTCCACCAAATCCAGGAAAAGCTCATTGGAATGAAGGTCTGGAAACATGAGCGAGATTCAAAAGGCTGTCTATTATACAAGTCTGCTTTATTGATGGTGGTGTGCTGGGGTTCTGGTTGTCAAATTCTACTTTTGTTTTCTACTGCTCAAGTACAATATGTTAAACAGGAAGGTCTGCGATTATTTATACGTCTTTCAAAACTTACAATGACCAATCCTCGACTGACAGATTCTTTCGACAACTGAGAGGCTATTCCCCTCTCTCACTCAAGTCTGAGAGATATGATCAGTGTTACTTGTAAAGACAATGTCTACCAGGCCAACAACCAACAATCCAATTTCCTAAGCTTTACCCGGGAAAAGGTACCAAAGATTTCATTAACATGGTCAAGCTGACATACAGGAACATTGCAAACACCGATAATTTCATGATCTTGATCAATCAACTCGAAAACTTCAACCCCAGAGATGCAGATGTGCATTCGCAGCTCCGCCGAGATACCTTTCACCTGACACAGGATGTTCGGCCAAAACCTTCTCGATGGCTTTGATCTCTTTGTTCGTCAACTCTATATCACCTGCCTCCAGGTTTTCCAAAGTACGCGTGGCTTTACTACGGGTTTGAAAATAAAAAGCAATGAGACTGGGAAAGAGAATTGGGGAATGCCACGTACGATGATCCAGGGAGAGGAATCATAGTTGGGCCAAGGGATGCCACCCAAGCAATGCACAGCTGTCCCGGAGTAATGGATGGCTTTCTACTCTCTGCAATTGCTTTCAAGCCTTCAACAATGGCCAGATTGGCCTTGATATTATCCTCCTTGAAGCGGTCGAACCTAGCGCGGAAATCTCCCTCTATTGAAGTGTGGACATGTTAATCATTGATACCCATTTGTAGAACGACAGAAGCAGATTGAGGAAGGAGGAAAGTTGGCATGCCTGTTGATCAAGGGAATTATTGATAACGATTTGCGTTCTAACTTACCTGGAAGATCTGTAGAACTCTTGATAGTTCCTGTGAGAAGCCCATGCCCGAGAGGAGAATATGCTAAAACGGCCACGCCTAACTCGGTAGCAGCTGCGATGAGATCTTTCTGTTCCTGTCCATACTCCCATGCACTGACTTCCACTTCTACGGCAGCTACGGATCCGGGATAGAGCTATGAGGCGTTACGATTAATATAATCGAATGAATCGAATAAAGCATAGTGAACGCTTACTTCATAAGCTTTCCTCAAAGTACTCCCTTTACATTCCGATAGACCAATATGTCCGAATTTTCCTTCATCGCGCAGAGTAATCAAGTTACTCATGATTGTCTCGAACGGGACCTTTGGATCGATCCGGGCTGGCTCGTACAAGTCGATCTTCTTGTTAGGTCCAAGTGCTTTCTGACAATTATCCACGCTGTGTTGGAGATACTCCATCCTAGAAGAGAGTAGATAGTAGATGCAGCGTTTGAGAATACAAGATTTCGGAAAACGACATTTAAAAACTAACGATGAATCAGGCTTAATTAATCCTTGACCATCCGGTTTCATGGCGCCTTTTACAGAGAGAAAGGTCTTCTCCGCGTATTCAGGGTACTTTTCAAAGAATCGAGAGAGCAACAAGAGGTTTCCGATGCCCCAGGTCTTGTCGTAGAATTCACCTTGAGTCACACGGAAGAGGTGTTTAGGATAGCACTTTGTGGATTGGAGGTACGTAGCGTTTCTTACCAGTATTCAAAAACATCTTCGCCCCAGAAGGAAGGGCATCAACTCCTGCTTTGATAGCCTCGAACGCTTGCTCATCGCTGACCGCGCTGTATAGAATATGCAAGTAGCCATGGTGGATGATGTGATGGTTAGAAGGTTGTCGCAACGATGAAGAGATCTGGTACACACGTCAAGAGCATCAGCCCATGCTATTTAAGTCTAGTCAGTGAAAGACTCAGATAGAATGTAGAACGAGAACCAACAGCAACTTTCCCGACAGAGATGTTTGAAGCTGAACCTCCTAGCTTGACTGATTGAGAGACCATTTTTCTTTCAAGGGTGTTTTTCGAATGTGATGGAGGATTCTTTCTCGACTCCTTGTCTTTTATGTCTTCAATGGTTCTTGACTCGAATGGCGTGTGCACTCGGCGGGGTTGTTAAGGTCATTTGCATAATCAATGTTTCCGTTTGCCGAGACTAGCTGACGAGGGATACATTGATAAGCCAGGCGAGCAATCGCAATCTTCGGCAACAGGTCGGACCAGAACGCTATCACGAGGTTGTTCATTACTTTGGGATTGATTTTTTAGATCCGATTAATATTTGATCTCAATTCGAACTCTCAAAACAGCACAGTCAGCCAGCACCTTTTCAATAGTTTTAATCGTCAACGTACATCGCCAGCCTCCGCGTTTCTCAAAGTACGGGCTGCTTTGCTTGTAATGAAGATCAAATTGGCAGATAATCACAATCGACAAGAATATAAAACACACGATGATCCAGGGAGAGGTAATGGTCATTGGTCGGGCCAAGAAACGCTACACAATTGTCCTACAGTGATGGAGGATTATTATCATTTGCTGCGATTGCTCTCAATTCTCCGACAATGGCCAGATTTGCCTCGGTATCCTCTGGCAAGCGATTGGATCTGGCCCGGTAATCACCCTCTGGATTACTTATAATCATCACAGTAGCAGGAAGATTCGCTTACCTGAAAGATCATCTGCAAAACTCTTTGTAATAGTGCCCGTGAGTAGCTTTGGTCCTAGAGGTGAATGTGCTAAACTAGCGACGCCCAGCTGCGTATTGGCTGCAATAAGGTCTTTCTATTCCTCTTCGCATTCCCATGCACTGACTTTGACTTCAACGGCGGCTATTGAGGACGTGATATATTCATGCAGATAAAACAACTTCTTCGAAAACGTGGATTTGTAGCATGTGCCTTTCTCAATGTACTCACTTTATATTCCGACAGGCTATGTATGTCCATAACATCGTCGCGGAGGGTAATCAGGTTAATCATGATGGTTTCAATTGGAAGTTCGGGATCAATCCGAGCTACCTCGTACAGATCGATCTTCTTGTAGGGACTAAGGGCGTCACAATTCTGACAGTTGTCCACACTAAGTATGTCGAACGCTCTCTTCCTACAGGTAATGATGACAGAGATGGAAGTGAGGAGATACTGTGGAATGAACACTCACTATGAGTATGACATGATGCACCCCGTTCCTATCCCTCTCGATAGCACCTTCACGAAAAGGAAGGTTTTCTCTGCGTAAATTCGGTGCTACTTCTCGTAAAATGAAGTAAGTAATTAAAGATTCCTGAGGCCCCAGTTCTTCTCGTATGATTTAGCTTCAGAGGGATACATAAAGATGATAATTGCACGGACTCACCGGATTTGATAGTTTCAAAAACTAGCTCCTCTGAAAAGCGGAATTAGTAGGTTGTCGGTTTTCCAGTAAGGATGAACCGAGCTCGTCATGGTCAATGAGTCATGTTATACAATGTTGAACCCGATTAGCTCAAGGATTGGACTCAGATGAGAGGTGGAAACTGACAGCAACCCCGACCAAACAGTATATGTGAGGCTGAACCTGCCAGCTTGATGAAACCATCTTTATCTGAATATGTTCGGGAACATAGTTGATGAAGGGCTAACTAACTAGCTGAGAGCCTCGAATCTCATCCCATCGCCTCATATACACTGTTTAGTTAGCTTCAGATGCACGTAACAAGTCTGTTCAATCGTGTGTACTTATTCCAAGTGAATAATGTTTTGAACTTAGGAGCAACGAACTCCTCCAACAAGTACGAGAGGATTACGAGGGAAGCATGTATAGGGACAACTCACTGAGAAGTGAGAAGGTTGAACGGGGGAAGAAAGACACATTCAATGGTCTTTGGCAATTTGGCACCAACCAATGCCGAAAAGATTAAAGAGTCTTATCTTATCTTATTCACAATCATTAAGCGTTGGCAATGGTTTACTCACAGGGGGAAATGAACACTTATCCTACTATCACCATCGACCTGGTAAGGTTCTTACTCTTCCAAGTCTCCATTCAAACTAATGGGCACTCAACATATCTCATTCAGACTCTTGACCGGCACACCATAAAAGATGTTCTTCGCGCCATACTCGATGCAATCCTCTTTCATCGTCTCTTTGGATTGGTCAAGCCAAAGACGAGGGAGGTACTGGGCGTAACTATGGTTATAATGTTTCTATGCTCTTTTGTGACCTGAAGATCTGATGTTCATGCAGCCTGGCGTATCTGACCTAGACATGGAACAGCTTGTAGAGGAAAAGGTAGACTTATTTTGGAAAGAAATCGAGGGTGGTATGAGTAAGAGGGGACAGGTATCTGTTTTCGTCCCCTGCTTTTCTATAATTGAGCTAAATCAAGTTTTCGATAGATCATAGTCACATTTTCTGAAAAAAGGCCAAAGAAAAGCTGGTTCCAAGTCTATGTTGGCGAAGAAGATGTACCTTGGGAACAATGGTTAGTTTTTGCTAATGCTTATCTGTTGATATTTGCTCCATTCCCCTAATCTAAATGCAGGGTAATCAATGCAGAAA